TTTTAATTAAAACGAGCGGATTATATTAAACTGGCCAAAATTATTTATTGTTGCATTAAAACATTTTATCTCTTTTGTGTGTATTTCATACATTTTAATTTGGCAACACTGATTTGCGCAAAGGCTTGACTCTCTGTTAAGTTCGGTTCGGCAAGCGTGCGCTGATGTTAATCGAATGGCATGACATTTTTTGACCAGGACCATACTAAGATTTATTTCTTCGCTACAAAATTGAAGTTCAATTTTCTTGACAAAACGTGGATATATGAATTTCTTATATAAGGCTTTTTTATTGCATATATTCCTAGGAATCTGCATTTTATTTTTTCTGCACTAAAGACGCCACACCCTGTATGGAGGGACTAATGTGCAGTTACGAATAAATGCATTTAAATTATTTTCATGTAATGTTTACTATTGAAATTGTTTTGTATTTTTGAAAAATAAATATTCACCAATTATTATTGAACGTAATTTATTTGCGGCGTGAATCTATTTATCCAAAGGTCTTTTTGATGTAACTAATCAGTGACTTGTGACAGATAGCGAAGCTTGAAAAAAATTAATAATAAAAAAGTTACCCATTTGTAGAGAACTTAAATTGTATACACTTATACGTGCCATCCTTTGCCATCCAATAGGTAAGATAAGTATTGACTAAAACAGGCCAGGTTTGTAACACATGACTTTTTCTCAACGAAATTAAGCTGATCTACTGACAGAATTCCTTTTATAGCGTTGTATATAAAACGATGAATAATAATTTGGAAAAATTTGGAAACGTCAATGCAATACATAATTTTTGAAAAAGATATGACTAAATAATCTTATTTCTTGATGTTTTATCAGTTCCTGAATTTGTAATACCTTTTTCAGAACACCCTGTATGTAGCGTGAAGCGGCAGTAAATGGCCACCGTGTATTTATACGAACTTCACCATTGTTGCTGACGTTGAATAAGCTTTTGTTCTGAGCACTTTTACGTCTTCTCTTTCACTTGCGGCTTAACGTTAATAAAGGGAGTTGTTACCCTGTAATTAATTCATTTATCTCCTGCTGTATCCAATGTTTCTTACCGACTAATCCCTTATAGACATTGCGAGCAAGCGAAATAATTGCGTGCGTTATATACCCTGCTTTGAAAGAATTCGGAATACAGTTGCCATTTATTAAATTCGAGGCGGGGAACGGAATTATTACAAAATTGTTGCCGGGACAAATAGATTATAATCGTTTTAAATTTGATTTGAAACTCAGCCATATGCCTACCAGACTAATCTGCTACATTCGTTTGCTGTAGGCAGCATAAAGTTTTCGTTAAGCTTGTTTACATTGGTTGGGTAAATATTTGGGACTACCACTTAACTCGTCGACGTGTAAAGGAACCTTATTTAATGTACCTATTATTCAGTTAAATTATATCCATTATTATTTGGTTGCCCAAACATTCTAAGTATTGCCTGAAGGCGTTTATTTGTGTCGTTTTTCACGTGGTTTTATATCAGTTGAAATTGCCTCATCTTAAAAATAAATGAAAATTAAGTAAATTCTTGCGCTAAGCACTAGGGGTTGTTTTTATAGATCTGTTTTTGTTTAATGAGAAAATCTCTCTCTAAGAGGCAGAGGGATTTTTTGAAGAAACTAGAGCAACACTGTTGCTACACTATCACTATCACTATCATCACACTATCATCCAAATCAATACAATTCAAAATGAAAAACAAAACATAGATATTACGAGATTTTTTTGTTCACATTTGTTGTTGTTGCTTGCACAGGATGTTTTTCTCTAGTGCCACAAACTAAATACGAAACTGTTTTCAAATCCAATTAAAAAATTGAATTTTTTGTAACATAAAACTTACTTAGCATTTTTATCTATTTACCCTTACACCAAAATGATCAGCTTTTACATAATTTTATTCAAACAAAAAATGACATAACTACACTCTTTACATTATAAGAATATATATTGTTATGGGTAGAAATATGTATGTGTATGCGCCAATATTGTTATGAGTAGTAATATGTATGTGTATGTGATTTGTTTGTGTAATTAATATAATTATGATCTTGCTGTGTATATGTGTATTTTGTAATTTAAGTTGTCAATTATACCCTGACTAGCTTTCGACCCTTCTCAGTAGTGGGTTCTAGTGAAGTTAAAACTCTGCAGAAAACCAAACAATACACCACACCTAAACAAAAGCTATTATTCAAAAATTAATTAATTTATTAGTTTTTTTTATAACAATCAATTATAACTGTGAAATTTCAGGAATACTTAGAATTATCTTATAGCACTTTTGTGACACCTTGAGAATTTTTTTATAGTGGTATAAATCGATTTGTTATTGTGCACTGTTGGTTGCCTACACTTAAGGCGATAAACAATGATCTTAAACTTTCTTTCTCAATGTGTTACTAAGCTTACTTTTATACTTAATATCTATCAAAATTTTAATATGGCCAAATATTTTTATAATCGTTTAGTGTTAAAATTATTTAATATTTATCAGGAATTTGTATTTATTTCAAATTTATTTCCAGGAAAGATTACTTTAAATTTTGTTATAATTATTCCTATATGTTTTTTATGACTTTTGAGATTGTATTTATCAATCTCTTTTGCTAGCTAGCTTTATCGTATAAGATTTTGTAATTCTTTGTGCACAAAGTTACCTCTACGTAGGTCTTGTCGATTTTTATTGTTGAACTGCTTGCCCTCCTATATTAGACCCGGATATCGTCCTAGAATCCTCGTCTTCCTGCAGTTAATGGATAGCCGGAACCTTCTGCTTACTTTATCGTCTGGAAGGAATCCTCGTTTTCTTGAGACTGCTGGATAGCCGGAACCTGCTGCTTACTTTTATGCGTCTGTAATCTCGTCCTGGAATCCTCGTTTTCTTGAAATTACCGGATAGCCGGAACCTGCTGCTTACTTTTATGCGTCTGGAATCTCGTCCTGGAATCCTCGTTTTCTTGAGATTACTGGATAGCCGGAACCTGCTGCTTACTTTATGCGTCTGGAATCTCGTCCTGGAGTCTTCGTTTTTCCTGAATTTGTTATATCTTTGGAACTACCGCTTACTGGTAACTATCCGGAATTTCGTCCTGGTCTGTCCTGGATATCGTATTGGAGTCCTTTTTTTAAGAGAATGGACTTTTGAATCCTTTTTTGGCCCAAATTTAATTTTTCTTTCTACTGGTACACTAACTTTAATTATTTTACTATTTTCCACTATAATTATTTCTATTTATATGGGTTTTTCCCACTTTACTTCTTTTCAAAAACACCTCTCTGACAAATTCTTTCGTAACTAATCAATAATTATCCAAATTTTTATTTTTCCTACTCTCTTGATCTTTTCTTCCTTGTTAGGGTCTTTTCACATATATGCCTGTTCTTTTAAATTCCGTTTTCTTTTTCCACTTCATTTCACTTTATAATTTACAATTTTACAATCACATTGCAGTTTATTTACTAAAATTTTAACTTATATTTCAAAATATTCCTTAATTCTATATTTGTATTTAAATTTCATATGTAATATTTTATGACATGTGAATCCAACTTTATTTTTGACATCTCACTGACATTATAATCCTATTTATATATAAGATTTTACTTTAAACATTAATATTTCTTGATACTTATTTTTCTTACTCATAATACTACTATTAAATAGAACTATGATATTTTAGCTTTCGTTTGCTATATGTCACTTGCTGTTATTAATTAATTTTGATTATGTTTTTTCCAATAATACCTTGGCATGTACGCTATTTAACCAAAATGATAATGTTTTCAATACTTAAATCTTTGAAATTTATTCTGCTCTAGTACTACGACTCTCCGATAATAATTCACCATAACCTATTTAATACTAACAATTTTTTTTACTCAAATATTTTTTAAGTTTTACGACAATTATTTCAACCTTTTCTCTTCACCGTGTCTTATACAAGTAAAATTTTAATTTAAACTTACAAATTGCTATCAATAATCTTACTTCATCTCAATATATATGTAAGTATTTGCAAAGGGGCAGTGTATATTTTACTGCATTAAACGATTCACATGGAGCTTACTATAAAATGTATAAATTTCGTACAATATTTGCTGAGATAAAATTCCAAGAAAAGAATAAGCCAAAAAAGTTCAGTTATGGGAACTACTGCATTTATTTTTCACCACCATATTTCATATCTGAGCTTCAGTTTGAGTTACCCTGTCAAGCTTCAGTTTGGATTTATCTTATTGAACTTCAGTTTGAGTTTGCTGTCGGTGTTTCAGCCTAGTTTGACAGCCTGGACTTCTGTTTAAGATACAAATTTCATATCTGAGCTTCAGTTAGAGTCTCCATATCTGAGATTTAGTTTGCCTGTCAGAGGTTCAGTTTGAGTTTTTCTCTCCATGGTTTAATTACACTCTACCATTAATTTTACTCTACCAGTCCTTTATTCAGGTTGCAATAGTTGGACGTAATAAGAATTATGGGGATGGGTATAGGAAGATGGGCGTTTGAACTGTTGTTAAATACTTTTTTACAAAGGTGTTTCCATCCAAAAATAAATTAGATTCTCGAATAAATCCAAAATAATGTAGGTATCGAAAGATGTAAAAAGGTGTTAAATTTAACGATTATGAAAACCAAATAGACATGGTAGGTAATGTGTATAATAAAAGTCTGTCGAGTTAATTAATTAAACAGTGAAAATGACATTTATGATGATTATTTATCTTTTGCACTCTTTTTGGTGAGATAACCGAAATGTCCGGAGTAACTTTCATGCCTTCCGTTAATATAGAATTAATTATTAATAATCTATAGGCGAAATTGTGCCTTGCAAATTTGTTTGAAGGCCTGTGACTTGGAGGTTATTAAAATCATGTTTTTAATAAAACCCACTTCTAAGGCACCCTTGTGATAAAAATATTATACCCTCCTCCAGTGCTGACGATTAAATCTCTCAAGCGACGACATTTTTCATTCCAGGACAAGGAGCACAAGACATTCGCAATAAAACCAATCCCCTCGACGAACGTCACGCCCGTCATCGTGTTCATCAATCCAAAATCGGGGGGCAACCAGGGCCTGAAGTTGCTCCAGAAGTTCCAGTGGCTGCTGAATCCCAGGCAGGTGTTCGATCTGACGCAGGGAGGGCCCAAGATGGGCCTGGAGCTGTTCAAGAAAGTGCCTAACCTGCGAGTTTTGGCCTGCGGCGGCGACGGCACCGTCGGCTGGGTGCTGAGCGTCATCGACCAGATAGGCATCTCGCCGGCTCCGGCGGTGGGCGTCCTACCGCTGGGGACGGGGAACGATCTGGCGAGGGCGTTGGGATGGGGAGGGGTAAGTGCACGTTTACAATTTATGCGTTGGCCCTAATTGGCTCGTAGGCTAACCAGTATGTCATACTTTTTTTTTTTAAATCCATGCGGGATAATTCTTGTGCACAGGATGATTCCGAAGTCACAACTTCAGAAGGCGCGTTTCAGGTTAATTATTTTTATTAGGATAAAAGAAAAAAAATCTAATATCACAGAATTCTGTATTGAAGTATAGTGCTCCCTGTTTCTACATTCAATCTAGAAAATTTTAAATAGATAACATAAATTTAGAGATGTAAATTATATACATATACAGGGTATCTCAGAAAAAATGTCTATTTATGTGTTATATAGGATGGTCCCGAGGTAATGGGCCAAAATTTATGGGTAGATTCCCAAAGCTAAAATATTGCAATTTAGCCGAACTTACCTTAGTCCAAAAGTTGATAGTTAAAACGATACAGGGTGTTAAAAGTAAAATATTATTTTAGTTTATTTCCATTTATTTCTTAATAAATGCAAATACATATCTACACAAAATTTTGGGATTTAGAGTTCTTTGGGTAGAGGAATTAAAATTTGTTCACATTTTGGATAAACTTCATAGAGAGCGCCAGTACCCGTAGTTTGAATGTGTTAAAAATGACTTAACTTTTTTGTACTTTAAGGTATCTCATCTTTGGTGTCAAATTCTTATTTTCCAACTTTTTCTTACACAAAAAGGTAAACTTTATGAAAGTATCTGTCTCGCACCGTTTCCGAGATATTTGGCTTTGCATCTTCCAATTAAATGCTAATAGTTGAAATAATTAAAATAGTTTAGAAATGTCAAAAACAAGGGTTTATTTAGAATTAAAAATTGTAATGATCAGTAAAATAGTGAACATTCGTAAAAAATGCCTTTTTGACAATAATTGCTCAAAATGTCCACCTCTAACTTCAATATATTTATCAACGCGCTTATTAAAAGATTGTCTTATTTAAAACCTGCTGCTAAAGTTCTTCTCAGGTGTTAATAGTTTCTCCATAAACAACTAATTTCATGTAACTCCAAAAACGAAAATCTCGGCATTCTATCTCACATTTATATATTCGAGTATACAATTTAAATTGTAAGCTAAGATGTAATTTTAATTAGATACGAATAATACTTAAAAAAAAATTCAAAATTCATTTATTTTTCCATGAGATATACATACAAATATATATATAGGAATAGTCATATATAAAAAAAACATAGAACATAAGTAGGAACAAACTAACATATTACAACCAAGGAAAACAAAAAAAAAATGTTAGTCATTTGTCAGTACCGGTGTAATCTACAGCAAAGAACTCATCTAGACCATACAAAGACCGTTCCAATAAAAACTTCTTTAATTTGCTCTTAAAAACACCCTGTGTAAGTGAGTCTGTTATTTCAGAAGGTAAATGATTGTAAATTTTAATAGCCAGACAATTCGGCGATTTGCGAGAAATGTTATATTTACAAAAGGGTAAACGGAATTTATTGCAATTCCTTGTGTTGTAATGGTGGATTTCAGAATTTAAAGAGAACTTCTGCTTATTCATGAAAACATAAACAGCAGACTCAACAATAAAAAGACTGCACAAAGTTAAAATTTTATATTTTTTAAAAACATCTCTACATGAATCCAGGAAATGTATATTTGCAATCAACCTCAGAATACGCTTCTGAACAACAAAAACATCACTTGACAAAGTGGACGTACCCCAAAATAAAATTCCATATCTCAATCTCGACTCCACCTGTGCATAATATAAACTAATTAACTGATGGCTGGTAAGTACCATTTTAAGTCTCCTGAACATATAACTAACTGAATTTAATTTAGCAATTAAGTTGAAACAATGTTCTTTCCAATTCAAATTTTCATCAATCGTAACACCCAGAAACTTTATATTTCTTGAATTAGAAGAAATTATAGAGTCTTTTAAAATAACATCAATTTTCGGGCAGTTATTTTGCCTATTATGAAATCTAATGGCCTTTGTTTTAGAGCTGTTTAAGAAAAGACAGTGAGTTTCAAACCAAGCCAACAATTCGTTCAGGGAGCTCTGACACATTATATTTAAATTTTCAGAACATGGAGATGAAAACAGAAACGCTGTGTCGTCAGCATAACGAACAACAGAGGCAACAGGTGAAGCCGAGTCAATGTCGTTACTATAAAAAAGAAAAAGGATAGGCCCCAGCACAGATCCCTGTGGAACTCCCATGTTATTAATTAAAATATTAGAATCAATATTATCTTTTTTTATATCATCAATATGATTAACACAAACATACTGAGGTCTATTACTCAAGAAAGATTGCACCCAATCAAGTGCGACGCCTCTAATACCATATGCCAATAGCTTGTTAATTAAAATATTATGCTGAACACAGTCGAACGCCCGACTAATATCACAAAAGATACCAACGGGACCCTCGCCAGATTCAACACAATCAATGATAGTTTCCAAAAGTGACAAGATAGCGGTATTTGTAGATTTACCACAGATAAATCCATGCTGACTAGGGGAAAATAAAGTTTGCTTATTGACAAAGGGTAACAGTCTATGCAAGAACGCATACTCAAAGGATTTAGAGAAACATGACGTTATGGTTATTGGCCTATAATTTTGAACAAATTGGGGATCGTTTTTCTTAAAAATGGGAACTACTTTACCCAATTTTAATCTTTCTGGAAATACACCAGTGCTAAAAGATAAATTAATTAGATACGTTAACGGCTGGATTATCACCGGTAATGCCTTTTTCATAATAAACATTGGCACTTCATCATATCCAGCTGATCGCTTATTTTTCAGTTTAAGCGTTAGAAGATTCAATAATTCATCCTCTGAAAATGGAATTAGAAATATAGAATAACTATTATATGTCGGATACAAGACCTTTCCTTGTTTCTTTGTGATTCTATTAATTATATTTTTAGGCTCATTAATAAAATAATCATTAAACACTTCAGCCACTAAATGAGGATTCTCAACTAATATTTTATTTTCTAAAAGACTTATGTTCTTATGTTCAGGCACACCCGTCGACAACTCAGAGATAACCTTCCAGGCCTCACCTGCTATATTACTTGAACTGAATATGCGATTCTGATAATAAGACCGTTTTGCATTTTTTATTAATTTATTATGGCGGATTTTAGCTTGCATGTAGAATTGATTGAGCTGTGGAAAATTAGTTTTCTTACTTTAGACTTAACTTAACTTAACTTAATAGAAATTAGCATACAAATGACAGCAATAAGACAAGTGAAAAACGTCAATTATTTGATTTTCGTCCAAATCCCACTTAAAAAACTTTACCGCTAAATTAATAATACCTGTAGGTACTTAATTATAATTTAATGCAACAGCACTGGAAGTTTCAAAGCCAAATATCTCGAAAACGGTACGAGATAGCTACTTTCATAAAGTATACCTTTTTTGTGTAAAAAAAGTTGGAAAATAAGAATTTGATACTAAAGATGAAATACCTTAAAGTACAAAAAAGTTATATCGTTTTTAAAACATTCAATCTACTGCAGCTAGCGCCCTTTATGAACTTTAACCAAAATGTGAACAGATTTCAATTCCTCTAGCCAAAGAACTCCAAACTCAAATTTTGTGAGGATATTTGCATTTGGTAAATGAAAAAAACTGAAATAATATTTTACATTTAACACCCTGTATCTTTTTAACTATCAACGTTTGGACTAAGGTAAGTTCGGCTAAATCGCAATATTTTTGATTGGGGAATCTACCCATGAATTTTGTCCCATTACCTCGAAGGAAAGAAATATGTAAATAGAATTTTATCGCGCCTATTTTATGTCGGCAAATTCAACTGCTTTTGCTTTTATTAATTAATAAAATTAATTTGTGTTTTTAAATAATAAAATCATTTGACATACCCGGTGTTACAACAATAATTGTTCAAAATTGTATCCACCAACGTGTAAACACATTTGGGTCCGTCTTACTCAGTTTCTACGAACTAACACAAATGTTGTCTTGCTTCACCATATCACAAATGCTTCACCATAAATTAAAACGATATCCATGAACTCCGAGTTGCTATACACGCAAACCATTTTTGACACTAACTACCCATTTTTGACACTAACTACTAAAAGAACTATTGAACAGATAACAGGTAAATACTATTGCAACGACGATTGCAAAATCCGATTTCAGTATTCGGAGTCGCTAAGGCCACGTGGCTCTCCACGCGCATTCCGAATGACGTTAGAGACTACAGTTGTCCAGCTATGTAGTCGTTGAATGTACTATAACTTCAATATTTTTTTTCTCGGAAACTTAAGGATTTTACAAAAAATTTTTTTACGATATTGACTCCATTTCTCATGCCGCATCTATTCCCAAATTTTTTTGGATAAGTTCTGAATCACCCTGTATAAAATTTTATAACACCTATTTTATAACAGCAAATTCAAGTGCTTTTGCCGCTATTGTTATAACCAATTAATTTGTGGTTTCAATTAAAAAAATCATTTGAAATACCTGATGTGACAACAACTGTATTAAAACAATATCCATCAACTCCGAATTGCTATATACATAAGCCATTTTGACACTTGAAAAACTAATGTAAACACTATCACAAAAACATTAATACTAAAATCGAATTTCAGTATTCGGAAACGCCTGGGGCCACCAGGAGAGAGAACACATTGCGCACAGCGCACAACGCAAATGACGCTAGAGAGTACAGTAGCCCAGTGATGTAAGGGTTTAAAATACTACAACTTTAATAATTTTTTCTCAGAAACAATAAAGATTTTACATTTTTTTTAAAGATATTGTCTCCACTTTTCATGACGCATCTATTCCCAAATCTTTTTGGATAGGTTGTGAACCACCCTGTATAACGGAGCCATTTATTTGCACGTTTATTAAATTGTATCTTAAAAAAAATTACGAAAGGTTAAATCTGTCCAAAAACATGAAGCTAATGTTCTCATTGTAATTGCTTCCCTTTTATTG